GTCTCATGTGACCAGCCATCCCCACTTGCCTGACACTGTCCTGGCTCTAGCAGTGAAAGTCCCTCATCCCAGAAACCCCATCAGGGCCCTAAGTAACACAGCACCAAATATAACTATTTAAAAATATATAAAATATACATAAATACAGGTTTATAGTATATAATTACATCTACATTATATATTAAATATATAAATATAACTATGTATACATGAGATTCATTGATATAAACGTATATGATACGTCTACAGCAAAAGGAAAGCTGTCAAAAATACCACTAGAGTGGAGACTAATATATCTCTTGTGCTCTTTGACAGATACTTAGGTACAAAGAAAATGTAACAATAGATTCAAATGATGTAATCAGTAAACTTGTTTTAATCTATACTATTGTATAGTATAGATTTGTACCCCACGGAGGATAAACTTGCATTTCATTCAATAACATTAGCAAAGCTTTCCTACGTAGCTTATCTTGGAAGATTGACCAGGATGAATCTTTACTGGCAGCTTGCAGTTCCACTCGTTGTTTTTGAGCTTGGGGGATTTGGTGGTGGTGGCAGTTGAAGACAGAGTTTTTCTTATTACTACTTTAAAATTCTTTCAGGCTAAAACTATGACAGCCAAGGTATATGGAGTCAAATACTGTGGGTGCAAACTCTTCTAAAGATTCAAAATTCTATCCTGAGAATCTTAGGTATGTCCCTATACACAGTTCAAAATGCTTAAACTACATAGAATTCCCTTTGAAGTAAAAAAACTTCTCACAGACTTAAGGACTGACCTAAGTCACTTTTATTCAAATGAAACTTAAATACGTACACTAGTAGGCCGGGCGCGGTGGCTCACGCCTGTAATCCTAGCACTCTGGGAGGCTGAGGCTGGTGGATTGTTTGAGCTCAGGAGTTCAAGGCCAGCCTGAGCAACAGCGAAACCCCATCTCTACTAAAAATAGAAAGAAGTTAATCGGACAACGAAAATATATAGAAAAAATTAGCCGGGCATGGTGGCACATGCCTGTAGTCCCAGCTACTCGGGAGGCTGAGGCAGGAGGATTGCTTGAGCCCAGGAGTTTGAAGTTGCTGTGAGCTAGGCTGACACTACGGCACTCTAGCCTGGGCAACACAGTGAGACTCTGTCTCAAAAAAAAAAAAAAAAAAAAAACTTAAAAAAAAAATATATGTACACTCATAAAGACCAGTTCTAAACACCTATCCTTTATAGCTTTATATTATTAAAATGCCAAAACAATGTACAAATAAATACAACTGTCAAACTTTAAAATGTCAAATTAATAAAATTAATTTACTGCAACAGATAACAATGTTTTGCTAAAACTAAAACACCATTTTGACTCTAATAATAAAAAGTTGTAGCCTCAGGTCTAATTTCTACATTTTATCATTTTCTGAATTTTGACTTCAACAGTACTAATGTATACAGGCATAAAGCATGCTGTGTAAAAACAATATTAATAGCCTCACAAGTGTGTTTGCTACTTGAAAATAATTAGATATCATAATGTAAAATTCTGCTATCAAACTACATAAATAAGTGTCTACATAAATAAGGTACCATTTCATACTAATAAAAATAGTAATAATCACTAACATTTAATCACATCATTAACCCTTATATCACTATGAATATCACTATGAAATCAATACCATATATTTATGCCCATATCATCATAAAAGGAACCTGAGCAACAGAGAGGTTGAATAACTTGCCTAAAGTCCCACAGCTTTGTAGACAAATAGGCTTTGAAGTCAGGTAGTCTGGCTTCACCTAACCATTACACCAAATGACCTGTCTCATTTCCTTGGATGGATGATATTTACTGAGGAGTTACTAAATCTGCATTAAATGAAGATCTGATCTAATTATTGCTGAAACCAACAACAGCAACTTTTTCATTGTGTTTTTACTACAACGCCTGCTGCTCATAAATAGCAGCAACCTCGATCCACATGAAGATGGGACTCACATGAGATCTCCATTCCTTGCAAATAGAGCAGTGGGGACCAAGAGCTTCTCAGTTTGGCAAGCCTGTGTGTGCCCTGTGTGGACTCACTTCTCTCTCCACTATTCAAATTCTATCCAACTCCCCCCTCCTTCATCTGTGCTGTGACCCGAGCCACCGGGCCTGCCCCTGGCCCAAATAGGAGGACACAGAGGCAAACACAGACCCCAGCATAGGTTTGGGGCTTGCCAGCAGGATGATCCAGAACAGATTTTTATTATTAATTATTTAAGACTATCGCAGGAATAAAACCATGTTTTTTAGAAAATATACAGAGCCATCAAAATACACACATCCTCAAAACCTCAGGGGGCTGTGAGACCTGTGGTGTGATACCATGAGCTCACACCGAGGGACACTAAAAAGCAACCATACAAAACCCATCCTTGCGACTGACAAGGAGGTGATTGAAGGCAACATTCCAAATGCTGTATCATATTTGAAAAAGTACCTTTCTGGTCTTAGAATCAAGAATTGTTATGCTTCTCCTAGGTAGTTTTTATTTGGTGTTTTATGTTCTGGACACGTGATATTCTGTATTTTGTCTCTTTCCTGCATAGCTCTTCTCAGAATTTGTAATTATATATTCATTTGAGAGATTAAGTGATGAATGTCCATTTCTTGCATTTGTCTTTAAGTGCCCCATCAGGGCAGAGACCATGTCTATCAAGTTCATCCCTTTGTTCCCAGTACCTCTCACAGAACCTGGCACATAGTGGGTCCTCACTGAATGTTTGAGTAAATGAGTTAAGAAATAAATAAAACATATATGCCATGGGCTGGTCAATTTCCTTTTTGCTTGAGCTGCTACAAAGTTCAGAGCTGGATTTGTTTCCCCGGCTCATAGCCAGCACAGAGGGCCTCATGCTTGTGTTTTTGAATCAGCCTCATTTTTAATAATATTTAATGTTTCTACCCTTAGTTTTCTTTTTTCTTTCTCATCTACTTCTAAGTTAGGCATCCTTGCTATATTTTATGAATTCCCTGTAAACTGTCTTAAATCCCTTGTGGAACAATGTAGGTGATAAATAAATATATTTAACAAAGTCTTTTTTTATATATATTGAAAATCTTAACACTAAACCCCCTGTCAACCAACACATTTGACCATCTGCAAACCTTAAGAATAGTTAAGGTTTGCTAATTCCAGCACCATACTAATATTTAGAATAAATTCAGTCCAAGCCTGGAAACCTCAGGTAGTGTGTCATTTCAGACATTGTTGTGTATTGTGTATGTAACTAGTACATTTGTAAGTGGGCTAGGCAATTCCGTGGAAAAGAAAGAACTTAGGGCTTGCTACAAAATTGTTACAGATTTTGGATCAAAGAACGATTTATATTTAGCTGTTTTACAAAATGTATTGACATCATACTAAGAATGAAAAGTTTGCTTTTACTTGTGCCCTATGGCAGGGGTGGGGGGAGAGCAAAGGGGTGAGAGGGCCTGGGCAAGATTCTGGTCTCCAGGCATTCAGAAAAGTCTGATCACTTTACAGAATAAAGGTAGAACATGATAAAGTAAAATACTAAATGATCTAAACCCCCTTTTAAAATCTCTAACATATATTTAATTCATGTGTTAGTGGGAGGAGTTACTTGCAAGTCTGAAATTTCATAGTTCTCTTCTTTGATCATATACATTTGGAGCACTTTCTCTTTGAATGCTGGCCAGCTAAATTTCCCTTAAAATGAAATGTAATGTTCAAATCCCACTAAGGAAAACACCCCTCCAAATCCCACTAATGAAAACACCCTTCGCAACACGAGTTAAACACCTCATGACTCCCAACTAGGTCCACAAACTAGAAGTGAAATAGAAGTGAAAGGAGTTGAGCGCAGCCTCTCCAATAGCCAGTATGCCAGACCAGCCCCTCCTCGTGGGTTAGTCAGAAAACATGAAATGTCCATTTAGGAAACTGAGATTTCAGTTCTAGTATTGATAAGGTTCATCTGAGTCAGTGGAATCTCAGATGACAAACTGCAGGAGGAGGGAAGAGTAGGCGTAAAGAACCAGATGGGTAATAATCATGTGTCATAGATAAATGACAATTTTTAAAAGAATTTGATAGGGTGTGGGCTGGGGCTTGCTTTTTTTATTTTTATTTTTATTTTCTGGAGGGGCTGGAAATTAGGGGTGAGAAAAGGAAGGAGAGAAGGCAAGACAATAGGCCAACGCCAGAGCCTGCCTGCTCGGCATCCCAAAGCAGTCTGCCCCTCCCTCCCTTCCCCCAACACCAGGTAGACTGTGCTGGCGATTTCAAAACAAGCAGACACTGACTCCCGCCACCGGACTGAGGATGGCCTCCGGGTGCAGAGGGGAGGGGGGGCAGAGGAAAAGAGGGGAGGGAAGACGGAAGCTAAGGGATGAACGAACTGGCAAAACCTCCTCGGGGACAGTGGCCTTTTTTCCCTCCGAAGTGGCAGAGCCGCATAAAATCCAGACCTACGGGCCGCTCACGTGCAGCTGCCCATCCAAATGTGGGCGGCTGCCGACGCCACACCTGCTCCGCCAGCCGCTGCGGCGGAGGGCGGCGCCGCCGGCGAGCGCGAGGCCCGGGGGGAACGGGCTCCCCTGGAGGGCGGCGGCCGCGCGGGAAGGGAAGGGAAGGGAAGGGAGGGGCGGGCCCGTGCGCGCGGAGAGGCAAGGCGAGGCGAGGCGAGGCTTGCCACCCCTCCACCCTGCCCGAGAAGAAAGCCCTACCTGTCAGGCGTTATGCTCTGGGCGAGGGTCCCACCGGCCCCAAGCAGGGGCCAGCCTTTGCAGCCCCGATTTCCAAAGAGCCTCCAATGTTACATCACCAGAAACCTCTGGGCGCAAGAGCCACAGCCCGCCAGGGCTGCACGACGCGCGCTAGCGGCCGCTCACCTGGCTGGACCAACCAGCGCCCGCGCGCGGAAGGATGCTGAGGGTCGCAACGCCTTGAAAACCAACAAAACCGAGGCAAGCCCACGATGCCCATTCCCAGGACCGCCTTACCTCCTGCTCCGCATCTCATCCATCTCTGGTCTTCCGCTGTGGGTTGGGTTTTGCTATTTGTGAGGGATTTTTTTGGGGGGGGGAGGATGCTCCTAAAAATCCACCCAGCTAATCTGCAGAGCAGTGTTTTCTACCCATGCCGCAGCCGCGCACTCGTCAGCCGCCGGGTTCCGCCAGCACTGCAGCTCCTGCGCGTCGGTGGCAACTGCAGACCACAGAGCTGCGGCTCCTTGACAAAAGGCGCTCGTTCCCGCTCGTCCCTCACAGCCCTGCGGTCAGAATTAAATCCATTTCCCGCACGAGGCTGGGAGGAAATGAGAGCTCTCCCGGCCGAGCGCGCTGACAAAAGGCCGCTTCGCGGTGCCCACAGCGCCCCCTCCAGCGGGCCGCTGCCGGCCGCCCGAGGGCCGCGGTGCTGCAGTGTCCCCGCCCGCCGCGCCCCGCCCGCGCTGCCGCAGCCCCGCGCCCGCTCCGCTCGCTGCCCCGGACTGCCCGAGCTGAACTGAGATCTGTTACTAGGAGGAAAATCTGAACCGGAGCCCCGTTGGGGATCTGTCTCCTCCCGAGAACAACAACAACAAAAGTCTTACTCTTGGAGTATTGTTTTTTTTTTTTTTTTGGTCTGGGAAGGACTTCTACCTTTGGAAGATAATTCTGTTAATGATTTTAATGACAATTGTGTGCTGTTTAAATTCCAAACCAAAATTACCCCTATGCTAATTCTGATTCTGTTTTCAAGTAGGACAAAATTTTGATTGTCCTGCCCCCTGGGCTACCAGCCCAACTCCCTCCAACTTTTACTGCATCCCCCACGAACTCCTTCTCCTCCCCATCTCCCACCCCAGAGAGACAAGTGTGTAGTGAGGGGGTAACTGGATGGAGAACCAAGACACCGGCAGTCTCAGACCTGCTATTGATCGGCTATTGTAAAATGATGAAGCCACTTAAACTCTCTGGGCCTTATTGTCTTCCTCTGTAAAATGACAATGTACCTAAGGCACCTTTCATTTCTAATGTTTTCCATTTCTAATATTGGAGGTCTTGCCCTCAAAGAGTACAGATGTCAAGGGGTAGCTTGGGACTTCACATTCTAAGGGCATTTAAAAACGTGCTCGTAAAAATATGCAACTTCCAGAAAAGCCTCTGGTTGCTGATCCCAAACCAGATCATGGCCCTTCTGCTGATTCCAGATTCTGGGGTACCACAGCCCTCAAACACCCCCCCACAAAAAAATCACTCAGTCCCACCACAGTGCTGCTGTGGAACCAGAATCTTTGGAGGTGGGCTCAGGATTCGATTTTGTTTTGTTTTGTTTAGAGACAGGGTCCGGCTCTGTTGCCCAGGCCGGAGTGCTGTGGCACGGTCATAGCTCACTGCACCATAGAACTCTGGGGCTCAAGCAATCCTCCAGTCTCAGCCTGCCAGAGATTTGGGACTACAGGCACATACCACTACGCTGGGCTACTTTTCTTTTGTGGGGGGATCACCCTGTGTTGGCCAGGTTGGTCTCTAACTCCTGGGCTCAAGCGATCCTCCCGCCTCGGCCTCCCAAAGCATTGAGATTACAAGTGTGAGCCACCATGTTCAGTTGGGATTCAATATTTTTAACAAACACTCCTAGTGACTCTTTTGCACACTAACATTTAAGAAACACCACTCCGTGAGCTACTGATTTAGAAAAGAGAAAATGCCAATCACAACCCTAGAACAAATGGCAGGTATTTTGTTCCAGATGCCAGGGCAAATTTGTCTTTCTGCTCTAGTTCCTCCCACTCCTATGAGAACACACACACACACACACACACACACACACACGCGCGCGCGCACGCACACACCCTGGTCACTGTGCCCTCCTTCCCCATTCAGTGCTTCTCACGCATTCCCATTCCTTCCTCAAAATCAGAGTCCACAAGCCCTCTCCCCATTCTCCTGTTAAAACCTGCTAGAAGAATGACAACAAGCTCAGTCACACAAGGTGAAACCCCTTCCCCCGCCCCACTCCAAGGCCAAGGAAGCCAGGAAGTGCTGTATTCATGGAGACATTCCTGGTGGCTGTTGCACTATTGGTGCCAACAGGTGATGAAATCTGGGGAGTAGGGAACCCCCCACCTCCGGAGCCATGAAATCACAGGTAATAAGGTGGGCTCTATTCTTTGATAGAAATTCAAAGGAGAATAGAAAATTTTTATTTAGTCCCAAAATAGCAGGTTTCATAAATCACCACAATCATCTCCATTCCTCAAAATTTCTCTTCCTAGTGTGTTATTTAGTTTTCTCAAACTAATAATAGCCAACCCTTATTGGCTCCTGGCAATGTTCTGACAGCTTTACATACATTTTCACTTAATCCTCACAAGAACTCTATGAGTGAGGTACTGTTATTATCCCCATTTTACAGATGAAGAAACTGAGGCACAGAAAGGTTAGGTAATTTGCCTAAGGAGGCACAGCTAGTAGGTGACCGAGCCAGGATTCAAACTCAAGCACTACAGCGCCAGAGCTTGTGGGCCCTAACCACTGCATTGCATGGCCTCTCAGAGAGGACAGGAAAGTAGACTTTTAAAAGCAGAACTGGCACAAGACACCAATGAGGCTGATAAGGCTAATACACTTTCCTTTTCAAAAAAACAAACAAAAAAAGTGATTCTGCTCCCCTAGCCATCACAGGAGTTAAAAAAAAAAAAAATAGAACCAGTTTCTCTCAGACTCCATCTGAATATGACAGTACTGAGAAGAGTGACACCATCCTGTGGCTTTAGGAATTGTTCAAATGTCAGACAGGAAATAAGACTTCATTAATTTCCACATCCATAGCCTATATGAAATTTTAATTGCAGTTCCAGAAATTCTCACTCAATTTCAAATTCATTTTGAAAGCCAACAAAAGGAACCATAGCTGCCGTTTGCTCCAGCTATCCCTGGAAGACCACAAGACGGCAGCGAGCCTTCAGATTTCCCACTTCAGCAAGCCCACGATGCCTAGCCCTTAACTAGGGACAGAAAAGCACAGGAGACCCCATGTCAGACCCTGGAAAATCATGGCTGGCTAATCCCTAGTGGCCAGATAAAGAATCTAAAATATGATTTTCTGACTGATTTGTAATAAAATTATTTCTCATCTCCAAGTCTTTTTTTTTTTTTCTCTCCAAGTCTTTTGACAGAAATGTTTCTGGCTTGTAGAGAGAGAAGATGGCAGCTTTTCAGATGGCCCCAATAAGGCCCACCTTCTGGTATCCATGCCCTGTGTAATCCCCTCGCCTTGGGTGCCGGCAGGACTGTGATTCATTTCTAACCAATAGGATACAGCAAAGAGGATGGGATGTCACTTCTGTGATTATATTACATAAGATTCTTTGTCTTACTAGCAGACTCTCTGAATTGCCTTCTTGACTTGCATGCTTTCATTTAGTAAGCAGCCACATGGGAAGACCTACATGGCAAGGAACTGAGGGTGACATCAGCCATTAGCCAGCTACAAACTGAAGCCCTCAGTCCAAAAGTCCTAGAGGAAATGAATTCTGCCAATAATCATGTCAACTTAGAGGCAGATCCTTCCCCAGTCAAGCCTTCAGCTGAAACCGCAGCTGTGGCCAACACCTTGATTTCTGCCTTCTGAGAGACGTTGAGGCAAAGGTCTCAGTGAAGTCATGCCCAGACTCAACTCCTGGCCCATAGGAACTGTGAGGTAATTGATGTGTTTTAGTTGCTAGGCTTGCAGTAATTTGTTACACAGCAATTGATAACTAATTCAGAGCCTTAGTACTCTCCAGGCCCAGGCATACTTATCAAAGGCCTTCCCCAGGGCATGCTGCAACTGCTGGAGAAATCAACATCCCTGGGATCAGCCCTCAACCAATGACTGCCAGGAGTTAGTGGATAACAGACTGGCTGGCTCACCCCTGAGTGTTGCGAGGACACCTCTAAGGCGTGTCTTCATTGTCTCCTGGTGTGCCTCAGCAGGAGGGAGCCCCAGCTGGCCACAGCAGTAACCCGTTCAGCCCTGCATCTTTCATAGGCTTGCTTTTCTTCCCTACACCACTTTCCCACTCCCCTACACGTGCGTCCTGGGCTTGCCTCCCAACTTACACTCAAATCATGGTCTATTTTTAGGGGAACCCAATTTAAGATGGGGCAGTGGGAAGACGGTGCTTTCAAAGCAAGACCAATGATAAATTGTAAGTCTAGATGTCCTGAAGATATCTCTCTCCCAATAAATGAAAGTTCAGCCAACCCTATGGCTGAGGCCTGCTCAGGAAGGAGAACTGAATTGGGAGTCCAGGGCCTAGAGCTCTAGTCTCAGTCCCAGGGAATGTGTGGACTCAGGAAAGACTCTGACCCCTTGTTCTCACTTCTCATCTATAAAGTGAGGGTAATAGCACTTATCCTCTCTTATGAGTTGAATTGTGTCCCCCCCAAATCCATATGTTGAAGTCCTAACCCCCAGCATCTCAGAATGTGAGTTTGGGGGCTAGGTCCTTTGAAGAGGTAATTAGGATAAAATGAGGTCCTATGTGTGGGCCCTAATCCAGTATGATGGGTGTACTTATAAGAAGAAATTTGGACACAGTCTGTCACAAAGCAAAGATCACACGAGGACACAGCAAGAAGGTGGCCATCTGCAAGCCAAGGAAATCATACCTGCTGACATCTTGATCTCAGATGTCTGGCCTCTAGAAATCTAGGATGGTAAATTTCTGTTGTTTACCACTACCATCTGTGGTCCTTGGCTATGGCAGCCCTAGAAAACCAATACACCCTCCTACCACCCAGGGTTGTTGCTTAGGCAAAATGGGACACCAACTTATAGTCTCATTATTACTGATTAAAAAGAGGTAACCAGCCCCTGTAACTCCAGCCACACCAGGAAATAATGACCCCAGGGCAGAGAGGCCCCAAACTCCACTTCCCACTCTCACATTAGGTCTAGACTTCAAGGGCTGTGGATAGAATGTGTAAGTCCTTCTGGGGGAGTCCCTTATGGCCCCAGATATGAAGTACACTAGTTCCTCCTCCCAGCCCTTAGGAATCCACAAAAAGATTGTTTTTTCCATGATCACCACTTGCCCAGCAGGATTTATTATTCTGGTGTTGTTATTCCTAGAAGGGGTAAAAGCTTTCACAGTCTGTCTTGAAACTTGGGGCTGCTGCCTCTGATAGACCCAGGGGTTTTGTTTCTGGTACCATGACTCTCTCACTATCCAGTGCCCCTCAGACAACTAGAACCAGCAGATGGCTCTCATTCTGATTCCAACGGATTCCACTTCGGGTATGTACAACTCACTCCAATAAGGGCCTCCGCATCCTTACCCTAAGACCTGGTTCCATACGATGTCATTCAAAAGAAACAAATCCCGCTGCCAGT